AATATTTAACTTAATTATAAAACAAATTTAAGAATAAAACCAACTTCCTAATTTTTTTTCAAGAAATTAGCATTAAATTATGCAATTTTTTGAAACATTAATATTTTGTACTTATATCAATTCCAAATATTTTAAAGAAAATTAATGACTTTTTACTTAAATTTTGCTAACAGTTAGCTTTATATTGATTCTTTCTTTTAAGCTTAATTTCATTATGCAGTTGCTCAGTCCAAAGGTTTATGCAGATTTTACGTCTAGCATAAGTTAAATTGAGAAGTAAAACAATAATCAGCGTGACTCATAACATAAGCTTTGTTGTTTAGAGACAGAGACGTACTGATCAGATGAGACGTGAACATCAGTGTTGAAAGTTAGCTATATTTTTTTGACCAAGTTGGTGTCATAGCTTCATGTTGATTTGCTAGAGATGTGACCAATTAATATATAGTATTTAATATGAAGTTCCAATAAGCCATTGAAGTACCAGGGGCGATAGGTTGTTTTGTACTATTTTAAATCTCATGAGAAATAAAGTTTTATGTTAATTTTTACATTTTTGTGTTGTATCTAACATTTACAATAAGAACCTAAGCAGTGGTTCCCAAATTGTGCGCAGTGGCGCCATGGAGAGCCACAGCCTCTTCACAAGGGTGCCATGAAATATCGTAAAAGCTTCATATTTAACTGAACCAAGATATTTAAGCCCAATCCCTCCAAAAAAGTGAGAAGCTACAAATATCTAGGTAATATTTTGCAGTTCATTTTTACCTGATGCTGTATTAAAGTCGCCAGCACAGAATATTCTTGTGAATGCAGGCCGGCAACATCGAGCCTCCTCGATTGCATAATATGATTGCGCTACATCTCATGAAAATTTAGGCTGACAACACATATTTTAAATTACGTTCAAAGGGGCTTTTTTAAAGTTTTGTGTGTTACCTTTATTTATTCAATATCATGTTCTTTGCACTTATACGATAAAATTCAAAATTCAGTTTAATAGCAATGTCGCAAAATTTGTTTTGAAAAACGAACATACCTTTAGAATTTCCGATACACAGTTCCACGCACTGTCCCCCCCCCCCCCCGTAAAAAGGTTTGAATAACCCCCCGTAAAAGGTTAATAAAAGATGAATATCACCTTCTAAGTGATAAGGCTCAGCGGATTTTAATTTCATTTTCGACATCATATTTGTGCGAATTTTGGTTTTCGGCAGTCCCTGTAATAAAAGGCAAGTATAGAGCAACAATTAATGTGAAAAAGGAAATAAGGGTGGACATGTCCAGTTTAAGTTTACTTAGGGTAGGGTGCCACGGAAAAATTTTAATTGAAAAAAGGGTTTTTGATTCAGAAAAGTTTGTGAACCACTGGATTAAAGAAAGAACTAACTCATTTCATGCAGAGATTACTCTTAAGGGTAAGCAGTTAGTTACAAGTAATTAAAGTACGTATTTAGATATCCTTATTTATAATATATTTACATGGTTAAAACTACAATTTTTAAAATATCCATTAAAAACACTAAGAACATTTTACAGCTGTCATAATTTATGGTATTTACTCTAAAATGACATTCATATAATTATAAAAGCTTCAAAACATTTTTATGTTTTGTAGCAACAATGAAATATTTATGGATATTTAATTCGAAAATTTTTTAGAAATTATAGCTATTTACACCACTTTCCTTTTCTTTAGCATCTTTTCTAAGTTTATTTGTTTCAATAAAAAAGGTCAATGTTCCCAATAGTCTCTCGATCATCTCCTAATTTATTAATGCTTCTCCAAAGAATAACTTTCTCTCTTTTATAAAATCAGTTGCTTCTTCAATGAGCTTATTTTAGAATTTTGTGATTTAATTAAAGTTATTTATTATAACTTTAATTAAATCACAAAATATATATTACTTCTGTTATATTAAAGAACTGCTTGTACTTAGAATGAATACAAGAAACTGTTAATTTTATTTCTTTAATAATATGAGTATTGAGAATAAATTTGAAAGGATATAACATCAGAGCTGGCATCAGAGCCACTGAGGTGGAATTTTTAGAATTTATTGAAGCATCATGCAACAAGATCTATGGATGGCAAATATTTTAGGATTTAGGTCAAGCACAGAGTTATGTATGCTGCAATGACATATATGATGGATTTTTTAATAAATTGTTGGTTTTCAATTGCTTTGCTTGCTTCAGTGCTTGTGTCTGGTAGAAGGATAAGAAAATAAAGGGGGAGGAGATTTCAAATAATTTTGTTTTCACAGTGGTTCCAAACATTCTTAAGTACAAAGTGAATTCTCAAGAGAAAACTGATAAATTTTAAATATTCTGACAAAATCACACTGGAAAAACTTTCTCAGCATGAAAAATATAAAAGAACACAAAGAAATTAATTTAAAAATAATTACAGTATCTTTTGTGTTTTATGCTATGACAAAATCTTTTATACAAGCTCCTATAATTTTTGCCCAGCCCAAAATAATGGCGAGATTGTGCCAATTTGGCAATGACAACTAATTTTTGTCACTAAATTTGGCAAGATATTGCCAAACTTGGGGACCATTTGGTCCGATTCCTGTTTAACTACACTGGTGAAATAAATTAAGAGAATTTGCATATTTTATCGAATTGCATGAAAAGAACTGAACTGAAGGAAAAATCACTGCTTCTAGATAAGAATGCAAATATTGTGCGCCAAATATGTAAACGTACACATGTGTGTAGGCAGAACCAGCAGAAGAACATGCTTTATAAGTGCATGGAGGATAAGACGAATTGCGTTCGCTAGCACACCTCAGCAAATTTCTTGGTGTTATCTTGCAGCAATCGGTTAAATTCATATCAGAATAGTAAAAATGAGTAACCACCATCGTTTAAACGCTTAGATGATGGAATGAGGTGGGGAATTGTGGGGAGGCTAGAGGCAGGCCGATTACAAGTCCAGATATGCAGAGAGTTTAATTTAACGCACAGCGTCGTGTGTAACCTTTAGAAACAGTTCCAGGATACTGGATCCATTGAGAGAAAGCCTGGGCAAGGTCGTCCAAGAGCCACAACAGCCAGAAGAGATTGCTATTTTTCCATTTTAGCAAGGCGTAACAGCGGGGCTACAGCTTCTCAGCTCTCTCGAGACCTGTATACAGCCACAGGAACCCATGTAAAAAGGGTGACTGTTTCCAAAAGACTGAATGAGAGAGGGTTGTTTGCGTCCCGTTCACGTCTACAGACAGGAGAGTCCAATTAGCATGGTGCAGGCAGCATAGCGATTGGAGTTCAGAGCAATGGACGACCATTCTGTTCACCGACGTGTCCCGTTTTAGCCTACACACCAATTTTCGCCATACTTTCATATGAAGAGAGCCAAGGACCTGCTACCTACCCTCCAATGTCCACGAAATCAACAATTATGTCAGTGGCGGTGTAATGGTCTGGGCAAGCATCATGTTGGATGACCACATACATGCCTTTCCACGTTTTTGACAGAGGCTCTGTGACTGGTGTGAGGTATAGAGATGATGTCTTGGAGCCCTATGTTCACCTTTTCCGGGGTGCAGTGGGCCCCGAGTTCATCATAACGCGAGGCCACATAAAGGTCTCCTGGTCGACAAATTTCTCGAGAGTGAGGATATTCACTGGATGGATAGGCCAGCCAGGTCTCCCGACCTCAACCCTATAGAGCACGTCTGGGACGCTCTGGGGAGGGCAACTGCAACTTGCAAACCCCCTCCGAGAATCATCCAGGAACTGAAAACAGCGTTGCTGAATGAGTGGGACCAATTGCCACAGGCACTGATAAACTAATTTCCAGTATGACATCACGCTGCGAGGCCTGTATGGCTGTAAGAGGGGACCTTACCTCCTTATTAACCCATTTCTTTTGTGTCTTCTGCAGCCATTGTTTCAAACCTTCAGACTCCCATGAGTGTTACATACGAACATGTGTGTCTATTATAACTGTTGAATGTTAATTTTGTTTGTATTATATCAACCTATGTTCACACCAAATTTTATTAAAATCTGTCCAGTAGTTCTGAAGATCCTAGATCAAATATGAAAATTCTCTTAATTTCTTTGCAGAGTGTATAATTGGTATGATCTCTACATATGCCTGTATATGCCTTCCACCAATTTCAAGAAATCAAAGGTGCTGCAACTCACCGGCTGGGGGAAATCTATATAAGATAGGAGAAGGCAACTATTCTTGGTTTTTAGTACAGAGTACTAAGAGATTTCTGTGTCAGCTTTACTCTTTTTATAAGTGTACAAGTACCTTTGTGGAAAATAAATTTTATCAAGCTCTTAACGGTTTTGTGTGCATTCAATACAGTACGAAACGACATGCATGTAAAAATATGATTTTCTTTTCAGCACTGTCAATATAAATATATTAATTTAATGAAGTTCTTAAGAAAATCAAATGCTCTGCTTTACGTAGTAGTAATATTTTCTTTTAACCAAGGAATATACATTGGTTTTCCAGACAAAATTTCTCCCAATGACCTTTGATTTAAATTTATATCAATGACATAATCAGTGCTATACTAAATTTGTCATGATTCTACTCAAATTGAAGACAACATTTACTGATACAGATAATATAAGAATCACTGATTTTGTTAACAAATTCAATATTTACTGCTGTTACAATTTTCTTCTACCAGGGACAGGGAGACATGAAGATAAATATACACTGAATTTCTACTGCTATAAAAAAGGCTTTAGCAAATATATTTTTAAGATTCTTTTTTAAAATCTAAATTAAAAAATATATACATAAAACATCTTAAAATACAATATAGATAAATTTATGGAACCATATTTAAAAAAAGATTTCATTCAAATATAACCAAATGGAAAAACAAAAATCTAGTTCTCTATAATCAGAAAATGCTTAAAATAATAATAATAAAGTGAAAAATTAATAATTGTTCAGGATGAAGTACATATAATAATAATACAACCTTACAGAACATATTCAAAATAAAAGATTAACAAACCTTGTTCATTATTTCCAATAACTTCTTCTTCATCATTTGTATATTGCTTGTCTATAGCACCCTTAATTTGATTATTAGCACCTCTAGGATCAAGATCAGTTGCCCAAGAAAAATTCATTAACGTTAAATGTGTATTGCCTAATTTTTTATGAACCTATAGTAACAACAAAGTGGACAAAATAAATCATAAAAATTCCAAAATTCCAAAACTCTGAAATAAACCATAATTAAATAATAAAGTAATGATGCATTTTTAAAAATTACAATACAAAAACTGATATGTAAATGGCCAGAATTAAACAGCCACATTTTTCTATAGAATCATACCTTTCCTATTAGGAAATAAACTAAGGATTCTTTTGGTACTATTTCTTTTAATTCTTCAAGATCTTTTAATGCTTCTTCATGTTTGTCAAGAGAAAAGTATACAGAAGCTCGATGAAATTTACACAAGGGATTTTTAGGATCCATAGCAATAGCTTTATTTAATGTGGCTAACGATGCATCCATTTTCTTTAAGGCATGTTGGACCTGTGGGGGGGAAAAAATTACACATATACACAAAACAATAGACATATTATTGTACCTTACTTTTGTGACTTAATTAATAACTTGCACGGTTCTTGTATGTTAATTAGCCAGTTTATTAAGATTTTGATCTTTAACTTCTGCATTCCTCACCAGAACACAAATTAGCTTTAAGTTTACTTAAGCTGAGGGTTCTGGATATGAAAGAGATTTCTGGCACTTATATTGCACTGTTATATTTTGCTAGCTCTAACTAAATGATGTTATCCCTGCATTTTCTTGCAAAGCTGATTGCTTTAAACTTATGTTCCCGTAATGCTTGTTGAGCCAGCTTAGTTTATTGCCTGTGTAGTCTTAGACTACTTTTATCAATGTTTAAATTTAAGAACTTTTTACTGATTAATTTATACCACCACAAGTAATGGTTTATTTGCAGCACACATTGTGCCTTTTATGTTAATGGTTGAGTTTAATAAAAAGGTACTTTTTAACCTTAACAAGTCTCTGTCATCAAGATTTATTTTTAGATGTAACTATTTCAGACTAGCAACAACTTGTTAGTTGTCTAATAGGGTTGTAGGACACAAATTCAAGTGACCCCTTGCAAGTGGCACTTGAAAACTTCATAAACTATGTTATAGGACCAACCAATGTTTAGCACGACCCCAAGATTTCAAGTTCTTCCTGCACCAAGAAGTCCTATGGAAGGCTTTGGCTTTATCATCAACACAATATGTGTCAATGAAACAAGGCAACATGTTTGACAGTAGAAACTTTATTGACACTCTTGGTATAGTTAGGAACACATTTTTTATTATACCTTGTTGTAGAGTTACATACCATAGCAACTGCTGCACTTCTAGGACAGGCACAGAAGCATTGATAAATTTTCATTAGGAGAACCAAACAACAGAAACTCTATGTCTGAAGTGTTTAAAACCACTCTTTGAAAGCACATCCTGTGGTGATATATAGGGCAAAATTAGAAGTGGGACTTTTGGTAAATGTGAGACTAAGGCAGAAGATTTGACACGTATTATTTTGAGGAAGGTGCAGATGGTAAACTTGCTGTACAAGAAAAAACTTGATGCAAAAGTTATTCAGATAGTTTTGCCTAGGTTGTTGCATCAGAACCTACCTGGTACATTAGAAGAATTATTTGAAGTAACTGTAAAATTTGTAAGCAGGCAAGTCTCAATGAATACACATACAGTGGGATGTACGCAAAGTTTTAGCGGACATTTTTGCAGACCTGCAGAGGAAGAAAGGCCAAGGTTTGGATAGCAGTAGGAGATTTGATAACCAGCAAACATTTCTGTTCCCTAATAGTGATCATTAAAATAAATCTCAAAACAGAAAAATGGAAAAAAGATAAGGACATTTTAAACTAGGTAGAGGTACTGCAATGCAGATGAAAGTCATCTCAAGGAGTGGGGGAACCCTCTCATATCCAATTAAATGTGATGCTAATTAAAAATTTGTCCCTCCCACTGATTCAAACTGTTTTAAATAGCACACAATCAGATACAGTAATGCAAAGTAGTTTTATGGCAGAACAATTTCAGATAGTACAGAATGTTTGACGTGCCAGGAACGAAGGCAACAGAGCCTAGGGGAAAAAATGTGAATAGGTAACGTAAGTAACTTTGAATATGCAGGTTAAAAATGAACATCAGAAGGAGGTTTTTTTGTTGTGAGAAATTAACAGATAAAGGTGATACTGGAGATGGATTTTTAAATGTCTTGTGCATCAAATTAATTTTGAGGAAGATATATGCAGCTCGACGTGCATAAACTCTCAGAATAATAAGTACAGCCACTGGCCTGTAACTAGAAGAATTTGAAGCCAGAAGAGGAAACTAAGTCGGAGTAGTTCATAAAAGAATTTTCAGACTTATTCAATGATATTCCAGGGTTGAACAATGTAGTCCCCATGTACAGCAAAACCCTACTGCTATAACAATGTCAAAGAGGAGATCATAAAAAAGGATATTTTGGAGATTGTGAAATATAAAATTATAATCTCCATAAGTCATCCCTATGAAGGGCCGCTCACATAGTAATTTCCTCTATGCAGAACTGGGACAAAAGAAAAATACCTTACCCACTGATTTTAAAGCATATGATTTCACTATTGATTACAAAAAGATAAGTACCATAACAAAATATCCAGTTTACTCCTTAGTATTAACTGAGGAATTAATCAGAAAAAAATAAATACACAAAATGCATGACGATGCCAGACCTCATGCCAGGATATTTTCAGATATATATGAAACAACAAGACAGCCAGAAACTGCATTTATCACCAAATCAGACATTTACACCTTCTTTAGAATGCTGTTTGGACAAAGCAGAGTACCCACCAAAGAGCTTTTGATATAATCCTAAAAATCTATCTTCAGAAAATCAACTTTTATTTACTTAGGTGATATAATAGTCATTTATAATACAATACAATTGATAAACACTTTGGGATTAGCACACTTTGTTTTTCATTTCTAAAAAAGGAAGGTTTAAAAGTGACTGTGACAGAATGTATATTAGCAGCCAAAGCACTCTGATATTTGCGCTACGAGGATATCTCACAGGAAAATCAAAATGAGAGATTCTAAAATTATGGTGATAAAGAATTATCCACTATGTAACATGGCAAAGAAACTGTAATCACCTTTGTGCTTATACTCCTATTTTAGGACTTTCATCAAAGATTTTGCTCACACAGCAGAACCCCTATTAAATTAAAAAGGGAAAAAGGCCAAATTCAATTGGTCAGAAGCAAATACGACCTTTGAAAACTTAGATGGACAGTGAACTGCATTTTAGGAAAATACTTAGTTCGACTCAAAAGAAATTATACTGCTATCAAGAAAGAAATATTTGGAGTCCTGTTAGTGGTGTAAAAATTTCAAATTTATTTTGGGAAAGAACCAGTAATCGTATATATGGACCATGCGGCCAACTTGTATTCCATGAAGAATTTACCATACGGACTGGTAAGACTGGCTCTTAAACTGCAAGAACACAATTCAACAATTAAACACACTTCCTAGATAAGAAAATGCCATAACGGATGCTCTATTATGAAACAGGATTTGGTTGAATAAGCAGAGACTCTAACTGTAATGATGGAAGACAATTTTAAGATCCTTGAAATAAGGAATGCTATGCAGAGTTTATGAAAGAATGAATCATATCGCAAATGACAGGAAAGACTCGAAACAGCATGCTGAGAGAGAGAGAGAGAAAGACAGAAAATAAGTGGTTGTTTGAATTGAAGAAATTTAAATCAGAATCCAATATTATTCCTAGTACACCAAAGTCTGCAATGGTGTCTCCTTCTGCAGGTGCAGACTTAAGTTACAATTAAATTAATTAGTTTCTAATTCTGATCCTAAAACATGTGATACAAATCTATTTCTGCACTTTGAGAAGTAATTAACCCTTCTGAAGGTACCAATTTTGAAGTGGGTGGTCTTATCTTGTTGATCATCTGTCAGCCAGTACTGCAAAACTAATTGCAAAGGAATCTCCTGATGACGCTCAAGATTATGAGAAAGTTAAACAAATTCTGTTAAAGTACTTCAAATTGAATGTTGAAAAATGTCAACAATTGTTTGCCTAACATCAGAAAAATCCAGAAAGCACATGGCAAGACTTTTATTTTGACTTACAAAACTATTTCGATGGATCAAAAGTCAAGATATTTTAAGAGTTAAAGAATTTGACACTCTGGATCATATTAAAAAGAAAGCCCCTCCAGATTTTAAAGAGCCCTTTTTGAGCAAATTAGATTTCTATGAAGAAAACACATATGAAGCAAAAACATCAATAAGGAGTTCCCCAAATTTCATCAACAAGATGATCCACAGCATGCTAAATAAGATGATCCCCAGCATGTTAAAAATATGTTAGCAAAAGATAATGTAAAAAATGAAGATCAAGCAACTGTTAGTTGCTAGGACTGTGATAAGTCAGGTTTCATTAAGGCTAAGTGCCCCATCTGCTGTCCCTCTCTTAAGAAAGCAGAAGCCAAATTCAAAGCTATACACCTTCGGACATTCTTTATCAAGGAATTCCAGATGACCCTTTTGAGAGTAAAAATAAACAGAATACCTAGAACTGTCTGTGCAGCCAGCAACACTACAGCAAAGGTAAAGTTATATCAGTCAGTCTGAAGGAACAAAGAACAGAGTTTGAGAAAGTCAGTATGAATGTTATCCTTGCTGGAGGTCTCCAGTAGGAAACAAAAATTTACAAAACCCACACAGAAATTGAAATAAAATCACAACTTTATTTAAATTACCAACAGTAAAAGATAACAGAATACTTTTAGAAACTGATTTTTTGCCTAGTACTGAAATTGTTCTAGACCTTCCAAATCAGAGGTATGCCAATCCTAAACAGTAATTTAGCTTTAGGGATGATGTTATCAAAACAAGTGTCCAGAATATAAAATGTAGAATTTAAACACATTGCTGTTAAGAGAAAGTAAAGGAAACAAAATTGTCCAATAGACAAAAATCAGAATAAAATAAACTGTTGAGTCATTATTCATATACCTTTCAGTTATGAGAACTGACTCCCAAAGTTCAATTGTACAATAAAAAAGGGGTAACCCCCTGTCGCAATTCTACCATATCATATATCTCCACCAAAGTATTAAGTAAGAGCTAGATGATTTGATAACAAATGAAACAACTGAAAAATGTGAATCCTCTTATGCTTTACAGATAGTATTAGTACATGAATCTAATAGCCAAACTCGACTTCGCACAGATTACCGGAAACTAAATGCCATCACAAAGACTGATAAATACTATTAGACAAAGAGTAACAACCTTTTTCACGAAGCAAAACATATACATTTCATGTCTGTCATTGACTTAAATAACAGGTACCATCAAACTGAAGTAAATTCTGCAGACAGCAAGAAAATAGTATTTATTTTTCTGTTTGGAACCTATTACTACCAGAAAATGCCTTTTGGTTTGAAGAATGTCCTAGCAACATTTCAAA